TGGCCAGAAAAGCTGTAAATTTACAATAGGCCTAAGATATAGAAGAGAATTTCTCAAGCCGACAGCAAGGAGAAGATCCTAAAATATTAATGTTTAAAGATTATAAAAATTAGTGCCTTGGAATTCGTCTCCGGATGAACTGTAGTTCTCATTGAACAAACAAAATTATCATCTTCAATCTTTTCAAAAGTTGGATGATCTTTGGGTAATTCACACATTTCGACATTACTTCGATTTTTCGGAAAAAGAAAAGTAGAATTATCCAAGACATTGGCACCGAAAGGAGTTTCTTTATCACCAGGCAAATCTGCAAAATTTTTTGTAAAATATATCTTATCTAACACAAAATCTACTTTTATGAAAAATCTGAGCATTTGAGGATGTTAAAAACATGTAACTAATGTTTGATGATCCTTTAAAGCCATCAACAAGGAAAAGATCACCATTTAACATTTCTGTGCCAAGTTGACCTTCACAGGCGTTGAATGGTGGAGTGATCAAACCAGTTAAATCCTTAAGATAAAATAAAGTAATCAGCCCTAGATCTAATAAAAATGCCCGAAAACAATAAATAACCTTTTGAAGTAGACATCTCGCTCGCTCAAAATGGATTCCAATAGAGAAATTATGAGAACCAACATTGTTTTCAGCATTTAATCGCCTTTTCTTATTTTTAGATGATTCTGGATCAGATATATTTGCTTCGTCTAAAATTTCATCGGAACTACTTTCAAGATCATTTTCGGAATCTGTTTAAATAGTCAAAAGATTAATAAAATATTTTGAAAATTAACTTCTAAATGGCAAAAATGCAGAGTGGCATTCGATAAATTGTTGTTTGTTACCAATTAGTCCATCTTTACTGGAAGAAAATTTCGAAGATTTGGGCCGCCAATGAGTCAAATCAAATAGATATCTAACAAAATTAATTTAAAAAGAATTAAAAAATATTATAAAACCTGTTAAATAAATAATGGAAGAATTCACGACTTGGTAGTGCTAAATTAACATTAGCAAAAGTAAGATCAAAAACAAGATTCGAAAATGCACGACAATCTTCTGCAAACTCCAATAGTTCTGCACGGCTACCAGCTTTGACAAGCTAAAAGTTCAAACATATACATAAATAAAAAAATGAAAATATACCGTTTGGCTTGGATTTTCTTCCTCTCCTTTGACTCCCTTCTTTTTTGAGCTATTATCCTTAAAATGAAAAACATCTTTTGTAGAAAAAGGTCCTTCGATTTTCTTCTCATTTGCACAAGTTGAATTGAAAACTGATTCAGGAAAACTATGAGATAAATTTATAGAATTCAGTAGAAGCGCTCGGCTCAAAGATTTATCACGCAGATCATATGTAAAATTTAACCTTTAATAAAAAAGCAAATTTGATTTATAAAATTTCATAAAAATACATAACAGCCTGAACATTTCCCATAGCTTTATCCGCATTTGTTGTATCGACAAAAAGAAAGTTCATCTGTTCTTGACTACATTTCAGTACGGTCGAATCACCAATAAAGGAGCCTAAAAACAAATAGAAATAATATATATAATCAATATAAAGAATAACCTTTTAATGTTTGGCACTTCAAATTAACAGTTCCACATATTTGCAAATCAGTCAATAAAGATTTAGGTAATTCTATGGTAGTACCTTCAATATCAAATTGTAAAACTTCATTGTGAAGACATGGAAAATAATCATTCATTTCACAATCAGAGTTTGGGGAGGCAGTATTTGGTACCCTGAATATGATTAGAAATTATCAAGAATAACTAGTGAATGTAAAAAATTAACCTTATAATTAGAAGCAATTTTTTAAGAGTACATGTGATGTTTAGCGAGATTGGTTGCGTGTCATTTTCAAATAAATCAGATAAAATTCCATGATCAATTGTAGATGTTTCATTCAAAACACTTTGTTTCATAAGTTGATTCTTGTAATCGTAAAAGAATGGCCGTGAAGTAAAGAAAGTGCCAAAACGATCAATAATACTAGGATCGATTTCTAATTTGCAAACACCTACTTCAATGAATAATGAGTAATCACGTTGTTGTGGTTTCTCTGACAAATTGAGTAAACGAAATGAAATAGCAGAATCACTGTGCGTATTGCCAGAAAATTCAACTAAACGTGTCTGCTACAAAATTTTTAATGTTTCAGAATTATAATTTAAAATATTTTAACAACTTGTTCAGTTGGTTTAAGTATTTCAACAATGTCGCAACCATTGAGAGATCCTTTTATCTCTAATGAATTAACATGCATATTGTTAGTGGCATTGTATTTTATGTAAAATTTGTGCGCCAATATTCTGAAACAAATTAATATTTTAAATAGACCCTTTATGTATGTCAAACCTCATATGACTGTTTGGATACAAATCTAAAAGTAATGCCTTCTGTTCATCTATCATAGCCTTATCTAATTTCAAAGATTGCGCCATTTTGAAGAAATGCTCCGCTTTCTCGGCCATTTCATTAATATTTTTTTGAATAAGTTGATTAATAGTTGTAAAATCATTATTGTGCTCCTTCAAAGAATCCACACTAAGTGGATCATGATGTGCGACTATTACAAGCGCTGCAGGCGCCCGAATGGAAATCATAAAAATGTCAAGGCGGAAATCAACAAGTGTTGAAGCAGATGAATCTACAAAATAATAATAAGTCTTGTAAAAATAAATTCATACCAATTCGTCCGTTTTTCTTGGCAGAATTGTTGACATTTTTCCAATCATGATGTAATGAATTAGATGTAAGTCGTTGTTGATCAATTGGTGTCCTTAGCCCGTGTTTCAGATCTGTAAACGTATGAAGATCATGTTGCTCGGAAAGATCGAAAAATTGAGGTTCGTTAACGCCACTCCACGTACCAGTAGAATATAAAAACCCAGCTCCAGAATTTTTCTCAGGTACATAGCTTGTATTACCGCCAACAAACTCATTCTTAAAAGAATGTATGAAATATTAAATTAGAAAATTTTTAAACCTGTATTTGATTCATCATTCGAGTAAAATGCTCCTCTTTCATAGGCATACCGCCTGTAAAATTTGATGTCGATTGAATTTGTTGTTTCGGTTTAGGCAACAATGACATAAACAGGCTTTTTAACATGTCAATTTGACTAGCCGTTAGTAAAGCGTAAAGTGGACTGAAGAGATTGACATCAATTTCAATTCGGTTATTGAAGCGGGCGTCTTCAGAAGTTGATGCTACATTGCTACTGCCTCCATTATTATTTGTTCGTATTTGAATCGTGTGTTTTTCAGAAAATAGTTGTGCAAAAAGAACTGGATTTGGCGAAATTCTAAAGAAATAGTGAATATAAACAATACGTTTAAAAAATTACGAGTTAATTGGTAGTCGAGTTGCCGTATTTGAATTAGAGCGACTACTAAAATGTGAGTAGCAGGACTGAAAATTTAGTGATGAATTTCCCATCGGATCAATATCAGGCTCGCTATCACTAGAAACTATCTGTGAAGTGTTTAATCTTTGCGGACGCTAAAAGTTAAATGTAAAATTAAAATAAAATTATAAATATACAATGGGTGTCCAAATGTCTGTATAAAGACGAACTCCTTGAACATTTATTAATTTGTTTAAATCATTTCTTCGATCAGGCTGTTCTGTGACAACATTATTAGTAGTGATTAACTCATCAATAACTTCATCAAGAAATTCCATCCTTAAAAGATTAATCCAATGGTAGGATAAGGTTGCTTATGAAAACCTGTCAATCTGAATTTCTATTCCAGTACAGAGGCCACTATCCACATTGTAAGACTCAATCCGCAAAACAACGTCTTCGAAAACAAATTTTATTCTTGCAATTATGTGATCAATAACGGTAGCAAATTGTTCTATGCCTCCACCACTGTCTACGTTTCCGCTGGCTAAATGCTCGTCAACAATAAAGCTTTTGGCCAAATCCATACTTGAGGCAATTGAACCAATGAACGAGGAAACTTAAAAGATAAAAAGTAAATACATGATGAGAAAAAACCAAGATCCTGCGTGTAAGGGATATTGACATCTGGAAGAGGTTCAAGAGTAAGTTGAAGTCCAGAAACTGTAAAAAATTGTAACAGATATTTTAAGAAAAAGTATAAAAAAGAAAAACTTCTAATTATAGTAGAATCGCTTGGAAGTTTTTTCCATGGCACCGAAACACTTAATTCACGAACATAGCTATCGACAAGTGAAAAGATTCCCAATCCTATCAAGTTAATAGAATACAATTACAGCGAGAAAAATATAAAAAAATACCCGAAGAAGACAACATTTCATTTATGTATTCTGTGTTAAGCATAACTGACTGAACTGTGGCAATTCCATCAGCGAGACTAACTTCGAGTTGATCTGATGTAAGTTCCGTCTTCAAATATTGGCCCATATATCTAAAAACAAAATATTCTAAATTAAAGTTGAAATAAAACCTGTGTATCAAAAACCGACATAATGGCTTCGAGAAAATAGAAAAATTTAGCATCTCAAATTCAATGAATTTGACACAAGCGTAGAAGCACGCAAACCTCTTAGATTACCGTTTAATTAAATTTAATGTTCCTTAAAATTAATGATTAAAAAATAAAAAGCACAAGTAATTAACACACAAAAATTGATTATTACATTCTCACATGTTAAAGTCATATTTTGTGAACATTTTTTAGTCTCTTACCAACTTTCTGATGTTTTTTCTCTAATATTAGAGGAAAAAAGAAGGGGATTTACTGTCAGTTGAAAACACTATGCCACAATAAAAAAAAACAACCAAGGATAATTTAAAACCCCCCACACCACTGAAAGACAACCAAAAAATATGGCTGTCCAAACTCCGGTGCCCCTTTACGTAAAAAATATATTAAAAGCAAAATAACTTTAATAATTACTTTAAAATTCGCTTTTTAAACTTTATCAATAAAATTATACCAATGGTGTGTCTAATATTTTTAATTTCATGATTCTTAAAAAAAGTGAGCAATGATTTTTTTATTGGACGGGTGCCATCTGTCGAATCTGTTTTATTAAATAAGCCTTTTCATCATTAAATTGCTCGTCATCAGTCCTAAAAATATAAATTTTGAAGTTTTAATGAAAGAAGCTCCCCCACCTATCACTGTGAAACTCTGAAAGAAACTCTGCGAGCCTATCACGATTACGCAATAAAATCTCGGTTATTGGCTTTGGTTTATTTGGATTTGCCACAAACACCTTATTGTTAATAAATAAAAAAATACATAATATTCAAAAAGAAAAAAAAACTTTGAAAACATGGAATGCCTCAAATTGAATATTTTTGCTTTTCTCCTTGAGCATATTCATCATCAACTTCAAATTATCCGGATTACTTATATATCGAGTCATCACATTGAAATTGGAACGATCCAAAAGAATTTCGCCTAACTATTGGTTAATTATTTGACAACAAAAGTAAAGAACTTATATTACCAATTTAAGACTTTGTCGTCTTACAACATAGTTCTCAGAAAGCAACAATTTTTGATAAGATTCGAAGAAACGATCATATTGATTCTCAAGAAAATCAGCGCACAAAGATTTGTGTTTCGTTATCAAATCCTAAAAAACAGATATTCAAAAAGAATCGAGTCATCACATTGATAAGTAATATAAGCTCTTTCTAATAGAGGCCCAGTCAGAAGGACGTATAAAAACAGACCGGGCTTATATTAAATAATTTTCCTAACCAGCTATCGGTTGAAAAAAAAACCTTAAAAGTTGAAAAAGCATCAGAAGCAATATCAAAAGTAGCAGATTCAACATAACGGAAAAAATCAAAAAATTGCTCAGAAAGTAAAATAATTTTTGCCAAATGTTCATGGCGAATACATTCCCGTAGCATTGTACCACAAGTAAGCGCTATTTCAGAAACTTCATATCCACGAACAAGCGTCATTAAGATTTCTGGACGCGCACACAAATACTCGACTGTAGGTGAACGAGTACCAATTTGACGACGTAACAAATTGTTAAAAATTAAAGCAACGTCTTTCTTCGATCTAAAAAATGTGATTTATAAAATAAAAAATTATTTTTAAACAAACTCAAAATCCAGTTTAGTAAGCTGACGAATAAGTAGAGGAAGAACAGAAGCATTGTATATTTCTTGCACAAGTTGAGAAATCTGCTCTGTATTAGGCTCCTGATTATCCTGTCCGTAGATAATTGATTTACTTGCCTGTAGCCAACGATTGACCTTAAATAGAATATACAAAATAGCTGGGAAAGGTTTCTAGAGAGATGCATAACTCGAAAGAGTGGCGCAAAAACTCGAAAAATTTTTTAAAGAAAAACCTCTTCAACCGCTTTTTCCGATTTTCGGTCTTGACCCTTTTCGATCAGCAGCAACGCTTCCCTCAGGTTGCGCACAATTTCTCCAGGCGATTTGTGCGATTTTCCAAACAAGGGCATTTATCGTCGCCGCTATAACGCATAAAATTTAATATAAGTAGATAATTTCGTAAGATAAGGCAAGATATATAACTATAGGATTGGACAACAAAAGGAGTTAAAAAATTTTATTTTTCATATGATTAAATAAATACATATTTAGAAGTGAATTACTAAAAAAGATTTACTCTCTTTTTCTTGAAAAATCGGATCTTTCGCAAACAAAAGCAGAGTTAATCTTATTTTAAAAAGACAATTGGCAATGGAAATTATTGAAAGGTAAGGAACGGAAAAATAAAATAATAAAAGGCATCATTACTTTTGAAAGAAATTAGTTTTTTTAAGTTAAAGCGTTAAAATAAAATTAAGGAAATTAACCACATAACCAAACCTATGTTAAATTTAATCCTCATGTTCTAAAACAGAATGTATTTCTTCAACTTTTGCAGCACGGCTTTGTTCACTTGCCAGTTGACGTTCCAATGTTTGTTGTAAATTCAATGCCTCAACCAATTCCCTAGAATATTTTTAAATTTTTTATTTAAAGCAAAAGAGAACCTATTCTTTTCAGCGACAGCTGTACGCATAGCTGCAATCGTTGTATTCAGACGTTCAGCCTCCGCGCTTTCAGTCTCTACACATTTAGGCCATTCAGCATTACGAAGAGATTCGAGAACAGATTGCAAATTCTACAAAATAAACAATTACGGAATTTCAAATAAATCTCCAAACATTGTGCTGCTTCCTCAGCTGAATTAATTCACGTTCTTTTGAATCAAGCAATGTCAATTCAACTCGTACCAATTCTGTTTTTTGTGCAGCGAGTGTTCTCCTTAAAAACAATTATTTTTTAGTTCAAAAAGTTAAAACAAACTCTTGAATATCGATCAAAGCCTCCAAATCATTCCAAGTAAATTTATGAGTATATAAATCGTGTAGACAAAAATTGGGGATGTTCAAAAAAGTTAACGGAGTATAAGTTTTCCTGTTGTTCATATTATTCCAGCGAAGTGAATTACAACGCCCAGCCATCAAGACATTATAATCTACAAAATTTTGAAATCAAATGAAAACCTCATGTAAAATAACCTGGAGGATCCGGGCGATTTTGACAATGATCGACATTATTAGAAAGCATAGCATCAACACCTGAAACAATGTCATTTAAAAATTAATTAAATAAAAAATCAAACTAGTTGTTGAAGAATTTGTTGAAAGCATATTCGGTGTGCACGACTCCAAATTAGATGAATGTACTCCATCACCTTTTTCAATATCCAATTTAAGCAATTCAAATTCGGGCTGAACTCCTTGTTCATTACATTCCATTATAAATTCATAAGGTCGTTCATCCGGCGTGAATCGATGCTCCTGCTAAATTTTTTTGCTTTATAATAAAAAAATAAACTACATCAGATCCATTCAATCGTGCTATCAAAGTAAATCTGCCTTTTTGTTGTCTTGCATGCGCCAGTACATAAACGATTTGAGCACACCTGTATTAAAAATTGATTTTTAAAAATGAATTTAGAAAATAAAGTTTACGTTGTATTCTCATTTACACCAGAAACACTTTGAATACTACCACCAGCTGTAGACACAATTAAATCCATTTTTAGACTGAATACGCGCAGCAAAAGTTAATCTCAAAAAACGGACGACGATTTAGAGAAAAACAAGGAAAGAACTCATCACTCTACTCTAAATAATAATTTACGTCAATTTTTTTGAAACCAGAATTGAAAACGCAAAAACTAAATTTTTTACAAAAAATTACAAGCGTTACGACAATTGTAAATTGACCCATTTGTGCAATTGCCATTTATAAAACGGACAACTGTGAATTAATCAAAACGTCCAGAACAAAACGCCCAATGTACAATTGTTTCAAAACGTTGAGCACAGAAAAGATTTTTAAAAATTGAAAAGTATAAAATGAAAAAAACATTTGTTAAGATTCGTATGTTCCACAAAAATTTATAAAAAAAATTTAAAAAAAACTTAAATTATATTCCAATAAATAATTAAAGTTAATATTAAGTAGAACGAGAAATAAAACCCGTTTTTAAAATTAATTATTGAAAAAAGTAAAACAAAAAATCTTTTTTAAAAATCATTTTTAATTTCTAAACTTGTTGTTTGGGATTCTATTTGTTGTTGTGGAATTTGAAAGAAACCAAGTGGCAAAATGCTGAGCAAAACAGGAATGAATATTAACCCATGAACCATTCCTAATACCATTGTTAACCTTTAAAAAATTTTAAAAATTAAGAAAAAAATTTAAAAAATACCAAATTGTTTTAAAAAATGTCAAAATAATATAAGCATCAACAGTGTAAAGGACTGAAATGCCTGTAATTGTTGAAGCAGCACCCTAAATTATTTTAAAAATAAATTTAAAAAATTCCAAAAAAATTCAAACCTGAAATATCGGCCAACCAATATGTCCAAGTGCACAAATAACTCTTTCTTTAGATTCCTTCCCTTGTGCACTGACAAAAGCATAAACAATATGAGCTGATAAATCTACAGCAAATCCAATTGACATAATTATCGAGATCATTGAAACACTGAAAAGGAAAGAAAATTATAATTAAAAAATCAGGGGTCATTTCGTCGGGAAGGAGCCCCCACAGGGAAGAATCGATAACTCTCCCAGATGTCCATCGCCAACAACCATGATTAGATGTCTTTCAGGGACCTCGTGACATTCAAAGGACCTTATTGTTAGATTAACTCAACGGGAAAAGTAAAATTAGAAAAAAGCTTACGCATCCAAATTAACACCCCAAAATGTCATATAACCAAAAACACCAGTAGCAATAGAAATAATTGAAAGAATAATTAACTTAAAAAAATAAAAAAATATTTTTTAAAAAGTTTTTTAAACAAACAATTGCTGAAGGTAAACTTGGAATAAGTAACAAAGCTACAGCAGTCATACATAAAAGTGAAATAAAAACATTTCTTAATGTTGAAGGTAAAATAATTAAATATTGGTCAGCAAATGGAAACATTTCATGATAAATTTCTAAATTAAATGGTTGTTGACTATCAGCAATTTCTCTAAGTAATTTTGTTGATAATTTATGTTGATTTGGTTCTACAATATTTTTCATTGCTATCTAAACAATAGAAAAAATTAAATATTTAAAATGTAAGAACAGCGGTTTTGGGTCAAGAAGCTAACTTCGGAGTCGGCTTCCAGAGCTAAGATTCTGAAAAAATCGGGCCCAAAGTCACAACCCAGCACTGAAGACGGCAAACTATCCCCTTTTTTAAATTTAATAAAAAACCTGAAATCTAAAGGCACTTATTTCATTATTTGAACGATTAAAAACAATATCAGATTCCCATTGATTACTAGCACCAGTAAATTTGAGCCATGAACGTAATTTATGATTCCAAATTCTTTCAGTATTTTCAGCTTCAGCATTTAATTGTTCCAAATAATTTAAAAATTCCAAGAAAAAGAAAACTGTTCCCTTTAAAAAAAATTTTTTATTTTACTATAAATAAATAAAAAAACCTCTCTTCCCATTGTATATGGTGTATTTTCAAATGCTTCAACTGTTCTCATAAGTTGTTCTCTAAGAAAATAATTTTTAAAAATATAATTGTAAAGTTTCTAGAAATAAACCTTTGTAAAGGATCCGTAAAATTTGGTGGATTTAATACCTAAAAGATTTTGTTAATGAGAGAAATTTTTAAAAATTAAAAAAAGTTTCGGGTCATTCCAAACATCCTCCTTTTTATTAAAGAAAATAAACAAACCGCAACGTGTAATTGTGCTCCCATTTTCCAAAAAATTTTCATATTTTCAAAATATTTTCCAACATAATGATCAGAAGTAACTAAATGACTAGGTTCCAAACCTTCTCTAAAATTTAAACATCCAATAATTGCCAAACAAATATAACAAATAAATAATAAAAAAATTAATAAACGTATTGAATTATTTAATAAAAATGGAGCAAAATATTTTGTAAAAAAATGATGTGAAAAATTTGATGATGATGTAGAATTACAAGTTGAAGTTGAAGTAAAAAAAGAAGAAAAATTTTCACAATTTTTAAAATTTTTATTTTGCTGTTGTTGCAATGCTTTTATTGTTGTTTTATTTAATTGTTGTCTAGTTGGTTCTATTCGAATATTTTGAATAAAACAAGGTTTTGTACTATCAATCTTTCCATTACTTAAAAAATTAAAAAAATAAAATTTTTTAAACCAAAGATTTCGTAGCCCGGCGTAATACAAAACGCCAACGTTTGATATAACGGAATCAAAAAAAATTTTTACCTCATTTTTCCTTCATTAGAAGAAAGAGCAGCCGAATTATTTCCATTTTCTTTTACATCTTCCAATTTTTCTATTTTTTGTTTATTATTAAAATTCCCATTGTAATCATCTTTAATTTTGTAAAGAAAAATACAATGACGTTGTTGTTCTTCTGCTTCTCCCATTATTGCCATAAAACCCGTAAAAAAGGTTAACTAAAAATTAAAAATTCCAGGAAATTTCAAAAAAAAACCTGATAAATATAACAAAAAAGAACAGAAAGAAATGCATAAATACAAAATAATTCAATTCCGGGTAATTCTGTAACACAACCAACCAAAAAAGCTAAAATATCTGTTATCTACAAAAATTTTAAAAATTTCAAAAAAAATTTTTTTAAAGCAAACATTTGTAATAGAAACAGCTACACCTCCATCTCTCATCATTTGTGCTGTTCTTTCACTAACAGTTAAAGTTTTTTTCTTTGCTGTTGCTGACCAACAAGCATTTAATACAAACATATCATCAACACCAACAGCAATTATTAAAAATGGTATAATTGTATTTATAACATTATATGGAATTCCTAGAAGTAAAAGTAATCCAAATGAAGAAATTAATGCAAAAAGTGTTGTTAATAAACCTGTGTGAATTTTTTTTTAAATAAAAATTATTTTTTAAGGTAAAAAATGTCCGCGGAAATAAAAAACTCAATACTCTAGTGGCGCTCCTACAACCCGGCC